TCAGAAATAAAACCACACACTTATAGCCAACTGATTTTCAACAAAGTTGCTGAGAATATACAGTGGGGAAAGGACAACCTCTTCAATAAGTGGTGTGGGAAAACTGGATAGCCACATGCAGAAGAGTGAAACTAAATCCCTATCTTTCACCATACACAAAAGTCAACTCAAAATGGGTTAAAGACCTAAATTTAAGACCCAAAACTATGAAACTACTAGAAGAAAACATAGGGGAAATGTTACATGAAATGGGAGTAGGAACACTTTTTTGAGTAAGACTAGAAAGGCACGGGCAACTAAAGCAAAAATACACAAATGGGACTACATCAAACTAAAAAGCTTCTACACAGCAAGGGACTCTATCAATAAAGTGAAGAAACAATCCACAGAAAGAGAGAAAGTGATGTTTGCAAACTACATATCAAACAAGGGGCTAATATCCAAAATATATAAGGAACTCAAACAACTCAATAGCAAAAAAACAACCAAATTAAAAAACAGGCAAAGAACCTGCATAGACGTTTCTCAAAAGAAGACATACAAATAGCCAAAAAGTACAAGAAAAAAATGTTCAGAATCACTAATCATCAGGGAAATGCAAATTAAAACCACAGTGAGATATAATCTCACCCCAGTTAGAATGGCTATTATCAACAAGACAGAAAATAAATGCTGGTGAGGATGCAGAGAAAAGGCAACCCTCCTACATTGTTGGTGTGAATGTGAATTAGTACAGCCATTGTTAAAACAGTATGGAGTTTCCTCAGTGAACTAAAAGTAGATCTGCCTTATAACCCAGTTATCCTAACCCAAAGGAAATGAAATCAATATATCAGAAAGACCTGCACTCTCCCATTCATTGCAACACTATTTACAGTAGCCAAGAGATGGAATCAATGTAAATGCCCATCAACATATGAATGGATGAAAAAAACTGATGGTATATATACACAATGGAATACTATTTCAGCTATAAGAAGAAATGATGTCTTATCATTTGCAGAAATATGGATGGAACTGGAAAACATCATGTTAAGTGAAGTAAGTCAGGCACAGAAAGACAAATACCGCATGATCTCATTCATATATGGAATCTAAAAAATAAAGCGGTTCTCATATAAGTAGAGAGTAGAATAATGGTTATCAGAGGACAGGAGGCAAGGGGGATGGAGGGTAGGAGAAGTGGTGGACTAACAGGCACAAAACTATGCTATCTACCCTAAGTGAATCTTTGTACAATATACGAATGTATTGAAACAACATACTGTACCTCACAGATATGTACAAGTAAATGTTAAAATAAAAAAATTAAATAATAAAAGTATAGATCCTTAAAGATATTGTAATACTGCACTTCGTGATTTTCACATATGAAGATACATTTAGCGCTTGTCCATGGTATATATTCATTGGACTATGTGTGACAACTTACTGACTTTCAAAAGTTGTTGACTTACTTCACTGAGTTGTTTACCAACCCAATGCTTTTATTCCCAAAGTTCAAGATGCACTTTATTTTGGAACAAAATAAGACAACACAAATAAACTCTTCACTCTATAGGGCAGAGCCCTTCAGGATAATGCGAGAGGAAGGAATGCCCAGATCCATGGTCATTTTGTACCTGCTGCTGGGCATTCTCAGAGAATATAGTCCCTGACACACTCACTGTAGCCTGTACTGGGGCTAAAGGCAACCCACACTGCCAACCACAGTAGAGCAATTATATCCAGGGTAGTGAGCACAAAGGGGTGAAACCTGAAGAGAATGTGGGCAAAAAATGGAAGAAATTCTTGTCTCCTTTGCCACAGAGAGGAAACTTGATTATCTTTCATGAATAGTATTTTATTTACCATTTTATTATAGGAATTTTAATATGCAAAACAGAAGGAATAGTATGAAGAATCTCCAGGTATCCCTCGCCCAGCTTCAACAATTAACATTTTTTGCTATTCTTGTTTCTTCTGTTTCCCCCTACTTTTAGGGGGCAGGGTGTCTTAAGTATTTTAAAGCAAATCACAGACATCATATAATTTCACCTGTAAATACATCAATATGTACATTTACTACCTATGTACTCACAAAAATGACCACCTACCATTTTCACACCTGAAAAATTAATAATTACCTATTATCCAAAAACTAGTCTGCTTTTTATTTTCCTCGGTTGTCTCAAAACCGTCTTCTCACAATTGCTTTATATAAATCAAGACCCAAGTAAGCTACACATTGGATTTGATTATGTCTTTTAAGCTTTTCTTCTATGACAGTTCTCTGTTCTCTTTTTTAATGCTATGTATTTATTGAAGAAACAAGAAATTATCCACATTCTGAATTTGGCTTATTACATCCATGTTTAACATGTTTCTCTATCACCCATTTTTTTCTGTAAAATGATAGATTGTGAAGCTTGATTAGATTGAGGTTCATTTTTTTTCCTTCCTTTTTTTTTGGTCAGTGATATCTCATAGGTGGTCTTGTGTACTTTGTATTGTGTCACATCAAGAGATATATAAAGTCTGTTTTTCTCTCTGTGTTAGTAATGTTAAGAATGATCTGTTGGTTCAGGTGTTAACAGTCTGATTATGAGTTTCCCCATCAAACTTTCACCTAAACCTGTGTCTCTCAATTTTTGGCTGCACAGTATTAGCACTTGAAGAACTTAAAAAGTACGTATCCCTATCCCAGACCAAATAAATCAGAATCTTTGTGGGGATGGGGTCGACCTTGGCGATACTCATAGTATTGTTTAAAAGTTTTCCCAGGTGATCCAAATGGGCCGCTAAGGTTAAAAAATAGCAGCCCAGTGATCTTGATAGCTATAGTAATTGCTGCCTAGACCATGGGATTGCAAAATGGCAATTTTCTGATTTGATATTCCTTCATTGATTAGCTTGAATTCTTTTGTTAAGAAAAATTTTCCCTTAGCAACTATTTGGTTACACTGAAATACAAGAAGGGCAGGATAAACACATGATTCTTTTCCCATATCAATGAGTCTTTTGTTTTGAGAAGATTATTACAAACAAATGGATTTTTATATATTTGATATGTTCCAGTACATTCCAGTGTTGATTGATTGATTGATACTCAAATTATCCTTTTTTTGGCCAGTTGGTTACAAATTGGCTCCTGTGCCCTTAATCTTTGATAGCTTTTTTTTTTCTCTCGGGCACAGTATGTCCCATTCTCATCTTGTACATTATCTATCCCAGACCTGGAATAAGCCATTTCACCCGGAAGTCCTAGTTCCTTTCACTGAAGGTGGTATTTAGAAATCACAATTTGGACAATAAGGATGTTTATTGCTACTGAAGTAACAGTGTCCTCTGTCTTAATTGATCTTTTTGCTCTCTGAACATAGCACTAACTTGTCTTTCACCACACCAATATAGTCAATGTGATGCTGGCATCACAACTTTAGCATATGTCTAGTATATACCTAGATTTTAGGTCTTTTAAAAAAAACTTCTCTACCAAGACTTGCATAATATCTTGCCTACATTGAGTCCTGAAAAAGATAGCAGTCTGGGTGTATTATTTCTAGCTGAAGTGAAGGCTTTGTGGAGGAGGTAGATTTGATGTCCCCTTTGAAGTATCTGTAGAATTCAATGAATGGAGAGACCTGAAGGTGGGAAAGCAACATGAGCAAGGTCATAGTAGTTACAAGCAAGCACAGTGTATTGCAGGACACCTGTATTAAATAAAAAATGACTGAGCTAACATGTGAAAGTAGGAATGGAAACCTGAAAATTTTAGAAATGCTACCTCACATAAGCATAAGCAGGTTATTAAGCATAAGCAGGTTACCTAGCACTTGGAAATTTGGGGGTGGGACATAGTATCAAAGAGTTTGATATAATAGTCTAGTATGTTGATCATACTTATGTTTTTAACAGTAAGAAAATAAAGTGGGGTTTTTTTTGTTTGTTTTTAATGCAGAAGCATGAAATGAAACACCCAATTTGTCATGGGTTTTGCTAATGTGTGGTCATTATGTTTATGTTGTCTGTCACTAGATGGAGTCCATGAGCCCAGGGAACTCTTGGTTGGGCTCTTCTATACCTCTTCCTGTAATTCCTGTGACTTTGAAAGGGAGAATAATACTTTCAGAAAACTAGCAAATGGGTTTGAATGACAGAATTTTGGGATTTGCCTTTTTTTTAAAAAAAAAAAATCGGTTTTGTAAAACTGCAGAATAATCTTTTCAATTCTTCGTGTTTTTGCCCTCCAAGAAATTTTCTTTTTTTGTCCTTTTTTGAGACTGGCCGCACCACGCTCAGCCAGTGAGCGCTGTGAGCGCACTGGTCATCCCCATATAGGATCCGAACCCGCGGCGGGAGTGCTGCTGCGCTCCCAGCGCCACACTCTCCCGAGTGCGCCACGGGCTCGTCCCCAAGAAATTTTTTTGAGAAGACCTTTAAAGCCACAATTTAATATCAGTTCTAAATCTTGCTGGTAGTAAGAGTGTTCTTAATTTATATTGAATGTCAATTAAAAGATTAAATTGTTATCCTCTATTTCAGTGCCCCAATTTTCAGGAACTCTTGATTTTAATCCAGTTATACATTCCCTACCCCCATGAGCTTCCTTTCAAATACCTGTAAGAACAATTGTTGCATTGTTTACTGTGTTGATTCTCAGCATAGCATAACACATATCTGCATTTCTAAAACCTTACTTGGTGTGAGGCATCACGAGACAAAGGCCAGGATAAGCAATTTTTCTTTATCAAGGTTGTCAAAAGGTTAGATGCCTGAGGCTAACAGTAGCTAATAGTGCTGGGGAATATTTCAGTTGCAAAGTTCCTTTGCTCTTTATTTTGGGTGGGGACTGGGCAGTGGAAAAAGAGCAGATGAATACATGAAGTGGTTGCAGAAAGGATCTTGGGAACTTTCCAGGCCCCACAGGGTATCTAGTTAACTTGCTCTGTTAGTCTATATGCAAGGCAATATGTGGGCAAGGGATGATCTAATTCCTTTTTTATGTCTTTCTGCTGCAGCACGTGCCCTTATAGTCGGCCTCCCTTTGGCTATGGGAACTTTCCAAGTTCAATGCCAGAATGCCTTGGTTATTACGAAGACAGGTACCAAAAACATGAGGCTATGTTTTCAGCTTTAAATAGAGACTATCCTTTTAGAGACTACCCTGATGAACACACACACAGTGAAGATCCTCGGAGTTGCGAGAGCATAGATCGGACCTCTTACTATAACAGTCATAGCCACGGTGGGGAAGAATACTTAAATCCCATGCCTCAGCTGGACATTGGAACCTTGGAGAATGTCTTCACAGCCCCAACATCAACTCCCTCTAGCATCCAGCAAGTCAACGTCACTGACAGTGATGAAGAAGAAGAAGAAAAAGTGCTCAGGAATTTATAATTTTAAAGCAAATATGCATAGAAAATAAACATTTCTTAAATTATATTCTGGGTCAGTTGGTGTGAGGAAAAAAAAAAAAAAAGCCTAGAATGCTTTGCTTAGAGTTTTCAGCCATGATTTGAGGAGCCAAAACCAAATGCAATTTATGTCTTTATAAAGTTTCAATTAGTGAAACTGGAGTCCTGGTATTTCATCTTAGGAATATTTAAGATGTGAAGTCGTTTATTTTTATGGTTGAAATTTGCATCAACATGTATTATCACTACTTTATCTTGGAATGTGTGCAAAATACTGAAGCCTCACGATTGTATGAGGGGGGAAAGGGGAGAATATATGTCATGACAAGTGTGATTTGTATTTTATCTCAGGATACATCTATTTTTCTTAAATGATTTTTTGTTTGGTTTTTATGTAATACTTATGGATGTTATCAGTTTTTACGTAACATTTTGAAAAGATTTTGATAACTTTTAGTAGTGAACCAGGACTCAGTTACTAAATTTAATTTACACTGATAACCAATTATAAGTTGCAAATGTGTTTTCATGGCACCTGGGTAATTCCTTCAGATAAATTTAGTCATTTCTGTTCCTAAACATTTTTATCATCATTTTTTAATATCTTTTTCCATTTGGTACGCATTGTTCTATTTTTGTTATAATTAAATAAACATAGATAAAATTATTCTTGTTGGATGTTTTCTGTTTTGGGGGATAGAAATAAGCAAGGCAAATATTGTTCATTTAAGATTGTTTTCCATACCACATTCAGGTATTTATTTTTACCTAATAGCCTCCGGAATTGCACAAATCCTATTAACTTGCATGAGACTTAATAAAATTGTATCAACAAATATGTACACATATTCTAATGCTATTTCCAAACCCTTTACACATATGTACATGTGACTTAAACATTCCCCACAGTGGAAGAGGTCTTTCAGATTTGGTTCAAACAGCTGTCTTCAAAACCATGGAGTTTATATAAGAGAATGTGGAATTTATTTAATTTGCAACAAACAAAAAACCCCTACATGTAATATAACCTCTTGGTCAGTGCCCAATTATGAATAGAGAAGACCTTTTTAGAATAGGATCAGGGTGACTAGAGTTGGGATCTTGATAGAAGACAGATCTACAAGGCACAAAGTGAATTGATGATGGCAAATAGCCACAAGCCAATACACTTTTCCCCCAATGATCTGTATGATTTATGCAAATTGAGATTTTGTAACTTAAAACTCCTTGGAAATTGTGTATGGAAATCTGTTCTACGCTTTCAACTTCTTCCTTTACTAAGCCCGTATTTACTTCTTAAACAAAGGTTGTTAATGTAGTACATTTCATCAACACTACACTTATTGCACATAACATTACCTCGCCCAATAAAAATTTTGTTTTCATATTTTATATTCTTTATTACTCCTTTCAGTGCCATTTTGATGTGATTAAAGAGCAAAACTTGAATTTTTTGGTTGATGCAGAGCAGACATTATCTTACTTCACATTTGAAATAAAGCAACATTTGGTTGTCTACACATTTAATGTTTATACATTACAAATGTATAAATTTTAGTAGTGAACATTATTTATTTTCTATGCATATTTGTTTTAAAAGTATAAACATTAACATATGCAACAATTTGACCCATTTTGCCCATCTTATTTTAATAGCACCTTTGTGACTGGGTTTTGATCATAGACCTTGTTCTCACGCAAATTGATTAGGGGAATTACTGTGTAAAGCAGTGGAATGATATAGAGCATAGTTTAGTGTTTCTTAACTACCTGTCTTCAGTGTAGCCCTGCACCTCTGATTTCTTCCACAATCTGTTTTATTAGTGGCTAAGGCTGGGCAATTCTTTTAATCTTCTTTTTCCTCTTCCTCAGTGTTGAGATCAGAAACTAGGAGTTTAGATTGTTTACAGATCCACAGTATAATTTGGGTTGGAAAGTACGGGTATCTCTTCTTTGGAAAAGTACCCAATTGTAGATAAGCATGCCTAACTACAAATACACATATCTGCTTATTTATAGCTCTTCAAACCATTGACTAGAGATCTACAGACTAAACAAAGCCACAGGTACTTTCTAATAGGTCTCATTGCCTTGTTTATTCTTATTATAAATTAGAAGTAATGATATTTGCTATAAGAATAATCTCCCTTCAAAGTTTGTTGAAATGTCAATATGTTTAAAATGTCACTCAAACTGTTCTATACTTTGAACAAAGCTGTTCTGGCTATTTGCAAATAAAAACTAGTTTCACTGAAAATAGATTTAGTCCTAACTTTTAAGCAGCTGAGTTTTCAGATTTAGAAAGGCATGTAATTAGTTAGAACCCAACCCTTTTAGATATTCTTACAAAATTTGATCAAGTAAGTTTGAGAAATACATGCCACACTCTCCACTTTGGAGTGTCAATGTCCATTATCATTATAATGTCTCAGAAGTTTTGCAGTAAAGAAACATGTTGAACTGTATCTCAGTGCTTCCCAAACTTATTTAGCATGAGACTCTTTTTTTGTTTAAACATAATGAGTACTAACATCTCACAGAACACTTTTTGGAACATGTTAATACAATTGTCGCTGGTGGCTTTGGTTTTAAACTTATTGACTTTACATAGGGTTTTCTACATTGGTCACCTCAAATCCTTTACTGAAAGAAAGCAGTGACTGAATAAACCGTTTTCTGCATTAAGTACCTAACAGTCTTAAAAGATTGAGGAACTGAAACTTACAGTTGTTGTAAATTGCCATTGGCTATTAAACTGGCTTTTTAATGAAAGCTGATATTGCACCCAAGAATTCAAGTAGACAAATGTACTAAATACACATACAAGTATATTTTTCACAGTGTCAACCAGCTGTCAATAGGATTATTCCTGAGCTAAAAGTATGAGCTGCTTTTCAAAGTTGTAGCTTAGAACTGATTTTGAAATGAATTTTTCAGGATTCTATGAACTACTTTCAATATTTTTAAATAGTATAATTTTGATGTGGGCAGGGTAATTGTGAAAATTTTTCGTACTACATTTTGGAACAGATTCTGCTGAAGCACATCCTTTTTTAGCTTTCTGAATCTTCACTTTTTAGGATTTAAGAGAAATTCCAGAAGCATCACGACAAAACTACTTATTTAAAAAAACAAGAGGAGGAGCTGAGGGCAGCCCCCACCATCTGGAAGCAGGCAAGGGACACACCCAGGGTCCTAGGCAGGAGCTGAGGGCAGCATTCTCCTAGCCCAGAAGCAGGTAAGGAAAAACACCACTTCCACACAGGTGGCCCACCACAGCCACAGCTGCTGCAAAAGCAGCTTGCCACCAAAGCAGTAGCCACAGCCATTGTGCAGGTGGCCCACCAGACACTTGACTGCATTGACACAAAGAGAGTCATCAGTGGAGACCAGAAAAAGATGAGAAAGTGTCTCTCCTCAAAGCCCTCTCCAGAGTAATAGAAGAAGCAACTGTTCTTCCAGATGACCAGACATCAATGTAGAGATACTAGAATACAAAAATCCAAGAAATTATGACACCACCAAAAGAATACAGTAATTCTCAAATACCAGACCCCTATAGAACAGGAAAACTTTGAAATTATTGAAAAGGAGTTTTGAGCAACAGTTTAAAGGAAACTCACTGAGATACAAGAAGACTCAGACAACGTAATGAAATGAGGGGAAAAAAATTCCAGGATATGAAGGAAGAAGTTTACAAAGAGATTAGTACCTTTAAAATGAATGTAGCAGAACTCAGAGGACTGAAAGAATCACTCAGTGAAATAAAAAAACACAACTAAGAGCTTAAACAGCAGGCTAGAACAAGCAGAAGAAAGAATTTCTGATCCTGAAGATAGTCTTTTCAAAATAACCCAGGTAGACAAACAAAAAAAGAAAAAAGAATTTAAAAAATGGACAAAATCTAAGAGAGCTAGCAGACAACCTTAAGCACACACACAAACATTTGAATCATGGGTGTTCCAGAAGGGGAGGAGAAAGAAAACACATTGAAAACCTATTCAATGAATAAAGAAAAACTTCCCAGGTTTAAGGAGAGACATGGACCTTCAGATCCAGGAGGCTCAAAGATCCCATTACAGATTCAACCCCTAAAGATCCTCTCCAAGACACATTGTAGTCAAACTGGCAAAGCTCAAAGACAAAGAGAATCTTAAAAGAAACAAGAGAAAAGCATCAAGTCACCTGTAAGGGAGACCCTACCAGACTAGCAGCAGACTTCTCAATAGAAACTTCACAGAACAGAAGAAAATGGGAATGATATATTCAAAATACTAAAAGAAAAAACTGCCAGCCAAGAATACTATCCCCAGCAAGGCTCTCCTTCAGAAATGACAGAGAAATAGTGTGTTTTCCAGACAAACAAAAACTGTAGGAGTTCACCACCACATAATCAGCCCTGCAAGAAATCCTTAAGGAAGTCCCACATCTGTAGCATTTATCCTGTCTTTCTTATATGGTTTGTTCCTCGGCTAACCATAAATAGCTGAGGAGGGAACCTTTCTGTCTATTGAAATATCTCAGCTAGTGAATAAAGAGGGAATAAAATAATTAGAATATGGTATTTTACAAACTCCTCTTGAAATAATGGATCTAGCAAATGATCTTCGATATCTGCTAACATCATAGAGAGACAATCAGACATAATGGACCTCCTGAAGTAAGAACATATACCTCTGAAGCCAAATCTAACCTGAGTAAGGCCAAGCCTCAGAATCCAGCAACCAGTCACCAGGAAATGCAGGTGATGGCAGAACATGTTAAATGACTCTACTGGGATGGAGCCAGCAAATCCA